AAAAAAAATCTCCAAACTCTCCTCCTGTCCATGCTACCAAGGCGGGGATCGCGAATCCAGAAAACAGTAAGTTCGATTCAATGAACAAGAGGCCAACAAACAAATAAACAATCCAAGCACCATGGACAATAAATAAGACCAAAAACACCAATCAAATTACTTCATACCAAATAAGTTCAAACATTTATTCTTAGCAGTAAAACAACGATTCAGTGAAAACAGTTCATCAAGGCTAATAGAGCATCAAACTCCTTATAAAGAAAGATCCAGACTGATCTCTTTGCCCTTCGCTTCCTCGATCAGACGATCGACCACCTTGATCTCACGATCAATCGTAGCAAGCAAGATTTTCAACTCCTCTGGAGTCTGCGGACTAGGTGCATCCTTATCAAACAACATTCTTAGCATCATACGTCTCTGGTTTTTCTCCTTCTCCTTCTGCAGCTGCTTCTTCATCTTTGATATGCTTTTCTGGAGAAACGCGATCTGATCAAGCGTAGCGCTTGCCGGAGCCCCGGTCGTTGCTTCTTGAAACTTGTGAAGCACACGCTCAGCTTCGAGAGGATTAGGCCAAACTTCTGGTGCAGCACCATTTTTGTCGTACATGATAAGGCAAGCATCGACGTCACATAAGCTCTTGAGCTCATTCATCTTCTTTATCAGGTTTGGTTTTCGCTTCTTCAAGGTCTCGTTTCTTGCTTTTTCATCGGCTATATATTGGTACTTGACCATTGAGCGGGTCATGGTGTGGCCGTGAAATAGAAGAAACAGATACACCTATGGAAGCTTAGCGATTCTACAAGATCTGATCGGGCGAGATATATATAGAGAGAGTGAATTACTGTTCTGGTCCCTACGGTATATACTTTCCTCGTTTTTCGTGCTTAAAACGCGTTAATTACGTGTGGTATGCAATTTTTTAGTCACGGTCCCTCCATTACATGCCCGTTAAACAAGTCCGTTAAGTAAGGGGCATTTTCGTCTTTTTATATTTCTCCTATCATTTTCCATTAAAAAGTAAATTAATATTACACATATAATGGAATATTCAAAAATAAATTATTATTATATTTATATATAATATAATATAATAAACATCCCCCTTTCCTCCCGGTGACCAGCTGCCAGCCTTCATCCCAAAATGCATACCACAGTGACCAAAACCGTATTAAGGCATCTTCAGGACGACAAACAAGGAAAGAGTGTACCACAGGGACCAAAAACTGTAATTCGGTCACATATATGTACACACACAGTGGGCTGTCAATCTTGGTAAAAATATTGCAAAATTCAAGATGGACAATGAATTCATAGTCCATAAAAGGTAAATACTTTACCAAACTAAGTCAACATGTCGTCAAAATTCGACTTTTGGTAAAGCATTGTACTTAAATTTACGAAGAAACTCACCTCAAGATTACTATTTTCTAAAATAAGCATGTGAATCAATGTACATTCTTTCTCATTGCAATGACATGTTCAGATGTTCTCTATCCAAAAAATGGAAATGGTGAGTTTGGCTAACTTTGGTTGTTCCCAGTGATTTACTGCTTATGAAAAAGTTTTAACTAACAATTGGCCTAAGAAAGTTAAGCCGCTCCCTCTTTCACATGAGGGCATATGGTTTGACTTCTTTGTCATTAACACATGAAAAAAGGAGAGTGAACATATTGACTTTTCAAGAAACTAAGTGGTCAGTGAAAGTCCATATAAAATATGTCACCATGGATGAAGATGAATATGATCGAGCCATAACTTGTGTGAAAGCTTTTATATGGCGATTGTATTTTCCTTTACAAAATAGGATGACATCAAGATATGTTAAGCCCATATAATTTTGTTTTGATGCCATGAAATAAACTCAAAGATGACCTTTTGGGCTGGAAGACAGGTCTACATACATCAAACCCCCTTGATACCCTTCTTTCGAGTGAGATATATCGGGTATGTTTGGTTTCATTTGGTTTTTTGAAAGAAAAAAAAACCCAAGATGAAACACCATGATATATGCTTTTTGAGGAGATAATAAAATGCATCAATGAAGGACTTGAGGTTTTCCTGATTGTATATAAAATTCACAAAGTGAATCAGTAGCAATATCCAGAAGGAAGTTAAAATATCAGGCAAATATGTTTGAGCACCAACTATTGAAGGACATCTTTATGTGGTCTCGAGTTGATAATCCAAAAGAACAAAGAATAAAGGTAAATTTCACTAGATAACAATTAGAACAACCATAATTTTATGTGGTAGAATGTTTGGGTCAAGGGTGGAGTCGTTGGAGAGTGTCAGGCTCGAGGGTGTCAAGAGGAGGGGAGGCCGAGGAAGATGTGGGACGAGCAAGTGGAGGACATGACAACTTTAGACATTTTGGAAGACATGACCTTGGATAGTTATTCGTAGAGACACAAGACCATGATAGCAGATTGTGTTAAAGAACTTGTGGTTAATGTGGGCAGGGGAAGGGGTGGGGAGGTAGATGGGGGTTGGGGGAGTCAAAAAGTAGGTATTGTTGTCACCCTAGGATGGTCAGCTAGGTATCAACATCGCAGGTTTGGGGAGGGTTAATAGTCAACCGCTACTTCGTCCTTAGTTAGTTTAGTGGTTTTGTACCTTCTTATATGCCTTTAGTGTCCTTACGTGCTTTATTATTCTTTCTTGTTACTTTTTCTTCGACTTTCCTAGCCTGCTTTTCTATCATTTACTCTTTATAACTCTTTACCCTCTTTCAAACTTTTGTCCAACTTTTAGGACTAAAATATTTCTAGCAAAATTCTATTCTCTAAAGCTTTTTATAAGTCGGAGGTCTTCACGAAAACATCTCTACTCCTTGGGATAGAGGAAAGGTCTATGTACATCCTACCCTCCCCAGACCCTACTTTGTGTGAGATTCACTAGGTTCATTTCGTTTGTTTGGTTTAATGCTTGGCTACCAAAAGAAATCATATAAACAAGATGAATGAATTAGAGTGGATGAACAAATTTTGGGAACTCCACTTGATATGGTTGATCATTTTCAAATCTTGGATCCACTTGTGAGAATGGGAGACAAATACTAGGATATGGGTGTCCCCATGGTTAACATGTGGGGAAGTAGTAAAGAGACATGTCTTGACTCTATATGCTTAAGAAGCATCTTTTGATATTTAGAGTTGATATTACAAACAAAAGGAGGTTTTTGTGAAAATGTAAAGAGTTCTACATATATGATTTACGCGTTAGAATAGTAGGCCACCAAATGCAGAAGATGAATGTATATATATATATATATATAGAGAGAGAGAGAGAGAGAGAGAGAGAGTAGACGGGTGTGGAACCCTTTTGAATTTTCTCTAAAAGAGTAAAGGGGAGATTCCTACATATATACAAGTTTGTTGGTTCGTGTCTAGCCCATGGAACTCCAACAATATGCATTGCTAAGGTGTTAGGACAGCAATAGTGGTTGTATTAACTTGGTGTAGTAAAGAAATGTCTGTAAAAGGATGGTACTTGGATCCGATCTTATAAAAGAATGAAGACGTTTTCATGGTCTTAGTCATAGAATAAATGCAGGGTAAGTTGTACAAGGCAACGGTTAGACCACCTACAATTTATGTCTTAAAATGTCGGCGCCGCCAAGAGATATTGCCATGCAAGGATAGATATTAACCACTAGAATGAGATAAATTATCCATGTGCACATGTTAATTTAACATGAAAAGAAGATTGTAGGTCATTATCTCTTGCACATCATCTCCAAGAAAGGAAATGGATCGAATATACACAAAGATAATACGAACAAAGGCCAAGATAGACCAGATACCTACTGTCCTACTGTAACACTCAAAGGAACATATTTTCAAAGTTGGATTTGCTTCACGAGCTTAATCACAGATTCCCATCAAGTACCACATTCATTCAAGCTAATAATAACAAACATGGAAAATAATAGATTTAAAAGAAGCTTAGATGCAATCTAGAAGTTAACCTAAACAGTACCTCTGTCCATTGCTTTGGTTAATCTTAACCTTCTCCTCAAATGTGTATAAAGAAAGCTTGTTGTTTCATCCTACAAAAGAAGAAAAAATCCATTAGCAACCAACATAAGTTTGATCCAAAAATCAAAGAACATATTATCAGCGATCTAAATTTTGAAGACAACCACCTCTGGGAGATGAGTACAATTTTGAAGCATTTGTAACCTCGCCAGTACGACTTCAAATCTTCAATAGCTTATGATCCTTATGATTGGGGGATTTCATCAGGATTAGTCTCTATGCCCTAACTCGGAGAGAAATTATACTCCTTCAAGGTAAGAATTATCGCCTCCTTCAACATTTTCGATTTCCAATCACTCATTGGGATCAAAACCGACTCAGATTGGGTGCTCACCAGATTCCAGTGGACGGTTGACCACTTCATCATCATCAACAACTTCAAGTGCAATCGAGTTTGAGGGAAGAAAAGAGGAGTCATGACTCATCTTCATAGTGAATGATAAACAACTCATCTTCATCGATCCAACATTATAATTATTTAGTAATCGTTTAAAAAAAAATTAGGATACCGAATTGTCAAGGGAGGTCCAAAATACAACATCTTTTAGAACTATTAAGAGACAGATTTTTTTTTTGTCAAACAAAATTTACCGATTCGGAAGTTAATGAAACTATTAAAAGATAAACCAACAATCCCGAAAAGTATTTTATTCGGTTAATGAAAAAAGTTTGCCAAACAAACTTTTTTTTGTCTCTTGTTCTTACTACAAATTTAGTCCCTATGGTTTCATCTAGGTTATGAAGAATATGATTAGGGTTTTATTTTCGTTATGAATGGGGTTTTTTAAGCCGAAGGGTATTTTGGTCATTCTACAGTACAACTTTATATGCGTTTTATACAAGTATCTAAAGCACCACTTGTACCTCCATCTTCCACCACTCCTCGTACTTAGGTTATGTCATCTTCTTCGATTAGAATCCCTTCTCATGCATCTTTCGTTTCTTCTTAAACCTCTTTTTTGTTTTTTTTTTTCGTTTTCGTTTTCGTTTATGTTTTCTTACTAGATTTCAATCTAGATCGATAACGAAAGGAGGGGTGATGATGGTTTCAGCTTTCCAATTTTCCTTCCTTTCTTGCAACGGCAAGATCTCGAAGAGGACGACCAGGGGGTGGAGGGGTTTTGTCGGAGAAGAGGGAGCAGGGGGTCATGATGGAGGGTCTTGCAGTCACATGAAGGGGGATGAAAGGGGTGGGATGGTGATGGTTGGTAACTTAATTGAGTTCGACAATGGTCGGAGATGGCTAGGTCGTCGGAGGTTCGGGGTCAAGGTTACTGGAGATGGCTAGGTCAAGGCGTTCTTGACATCAACTAGTCTCAAAGAAAAGGGGAGGTTACGGTAAGGGACCAAATCCATACTGAAAGTGAAACATGAGAACCCTGATTATGAATTTTAAGGTTCAGAACCCTTATTCGTAACTAACATAAAACCACAGGTACGAAATTTGTAATTTACTCAAAAATATGTATATGAATTTATGTTCAATAAGAAATTATAATCATAGCAATTTATGTTCAAAAAATCCAAGGAGGAATAAAAATCTTTTTGTGGTTACAGAGGTTCAAATGTCGTGACTCCGGACTACCCGCAAAGCAGGTGGTCGTCCTTAAATTAGTCGGCTCGTATAACGAGTTGTATATTCATGTTAATAAAAAAAAACCAGTCTAAATCAACTATAGTTGTCAAGAAGTTCACAATCTTTATTTTCTCTTAAACTGACATAAATCAAAAACAACCTCTTCAGTTAATTACAATCACAATTGATATAATTTGAAACTATAGTTTCGTTTAAATAGTATAATAATATAATTAATTAAGTTCTAAAGAAGTCCTACAACATTTATAAGTTAGAACCGGCACAAAAATAAAATTGATAATTATAAGATATATTTATTTATTTTTCTGTTACTTCTTATATAAGTTTTTATATTTTGTTCTGTTAAGTTTTATTTTAAATAAACAAATACATTTACTTAATTAACCACAAGAATGATGTCTGATTGGTTTGAGATTGGACTTTAAAACCCAAAAGTGCCTAAAGGTATCAGGTTCAAATCCAAGGAGAAAAAAAATCCACTTATGGCTACGGATGTTCAAATGCGGTGACTCCAGACTACTCGCACAGGTGGTCGTCATAGAATTAGTTAACTCGCATAGCGGGTTGGATATTCATGTTAATAAAAATAAATAAATAAATATATTTTTACTTAATTTTATAATTTTATAAATAGATGAGAGATATTTTACAAACCATATAAATCAATTAATTGAGATTTTCATAGAAATGATGATAATTTATTTATTATGATTTAAATATTTATAGAAGATTACCAGAGTTCATTGTTATAATTAGCGATTTATCTATACTATATTATAAAACATTTGACAAAAACTCTTAAAAACTATTTCTTATGTATGAAGTACTTTTTATTGATGCATATTACTTAAAATTTAAGATTACAAATAAATTATACGTAAGTACAACCTATTAAAGCTCAATTTTTTAAATCTGTGTAACTAACTGCAGATAAACATAATTAAATACATGATAAACATCTCATTTTAAATATAAAAAATGTAAAATATAATCAATATAATCATTGAGTTCTAACAAGTAACTTTCTAGTATTATAAAACAATTTAGATATTATTAATTCATATATTAATTAGACGAGATAAACAATTGAAATTATGGTTAATATGGTTTGTATTAATGGTTAGGTTTGATTTTTATTATTACTAAAAATCTTTAATTTCCATATATATATATATATATATATATATATATTATATTTAATTTGTATATTTATTGATATACCATATTTAAAAAGATATAAAATTGTTTTTTCCTTGTTAGTAGTGTGAAAGTTCTAGATTCTAATATTAATATTATATTAAATAAAAAGCAATTTTTCTATTTAAACTTTTATAAAATATATTAGTAGATTATAGTTTATATATATTAGAAGGGTATTCGTACAATACAGCGAGATAAATCTCGATTTTAATATTTAGTTTTTATTCTTCGTTTTCCATGTGGTTTTGAGAAAACGATAATGTTTTTATTTTAAATAAAATATAAATTTAAAGATAGCATAAAAATTTAAAAAATAACAAAATTGATATTAGTATCAAGTTAACTATTTAATAGTTTTCGTTTTTTTGGTGTAACTTATATAATTCATTATTTTATTATAATTTAATTTACATTTTATAACAAAGTAATTTATTTTTTGTTTAGTAATTTTATATAAAGATAATAATTAAACATTTTGTTAGAACTCAATGATTATCTTAATTATATTTTAGATTTTTTATATTTAAAATGGACGTTTATTCTGTATTTAATTATATTTTTTTGCATTTAATTACACAAATTTAAAAATGAAGTTTTAATTAGTTGTACTTACGCAAAATTACTTGTAATTTTGAATTTTAAGTAATATGCATCAATAAACAGTACTTCATGCATAAAAAATGGTTTTTAAGTGTTTTTGTTAAATGTTTTAAAATATAGTATAATATATATATATATATATATATATATATTATAAATTTAATTTGTATATTTATTGATATACCATATTTAAAAAGATATAGAATTGTTTTTTTC